AAGGCCAAACCATCGCAAAGGAGTACTACCAGGAGGTCCTTCGTCGTCTTTCCGATACAGTGCGACGCAAACGACCGGATCTGTGGTCGATCAAAACTTGGCAGCTCCATCGTGATAACGCATCCGCCCATTCTGCGCATCTGATTCGGGCTTTCGTCGCCAAACACAATACTCCTGTGGTTCGTCACGCTCCGTACTCTCCCCACATGGCTCCGTGTGACCTTTGGCTATTTCCCAAGCTGAAAATGCCGCTAAAAGGAACCCGAATTTAATCGAGAGAAGACATCGTGCGAAATGCGACGGACCGGCTGATGGCCATTCCAAAAGATGCGTTCCAGCAGTGTTTCCAGCAATGGCAGGAACGCTGGGAGAAGTGTATACATTACCAAGGAGACTACTTTGAAGAGGATTAGGGTTTTGTACCTCAAAGTCAATAAATTTATTTTTGCCGACCAAAGGTCCAATACTTTTTGAACAGACCTTGTATAAGGAGCTAAAGACAAAAAATGCAGGATAGAGTAGCATAGAAAAATAAATTGTGCACACTGCACCTGCTATAACTTGCAGAAAACTAAAGAACAAGAAAAATTAATCTTTTGATATATGTATTGAATTATAAAAGATGAATTTTTAATGAAAGCCTGTTTTGTAATCAAAACCAGACAATCTGCTGAATTATTGGGCTATAGTTGGACTAACAAGGGCACTTTATGGTCTCAGAAATTCAGTTTGGGATGAGACTTCACAGATTAGTAGTATACCTCAAGGGTGTCCACCCAGAAAAATTGTAAAGCGCATGGTCAGAAAATTCTGAGAAAAAGGGCTGTAAAGTTTTAAGCACAGCTCACATAGTGGTGGATTTTACACTATGGCAGCACAGAGAAGTTTCTGATTCTGTAGCAAACTTGCTTGGCACATGGGTGATCTAGGTTCGATCCTACCTTGGGTTAACTTTTTTTTTTTTTTTTAATTTATTTACAATGATCTAAAAATATTATCAGTTAAATCATAAATAATTTTGTTTTATTTATGAAATGACCATTACAGCTCATTAAACTGTGAATTAAAGATAATATTTTATTTTTAAAAAGTTGAATAATTTCAAATGCATATTTAATGGAGGTAAATTAAAACTTTAATTACCACTATAAAAAATTTTCGGATAGGGTTTTATTTACATAAAAATTTTTACAATATTGTCTTTATTAGTCAATTTTTTATTTTACATAGAAGTACCAGAATGATAATTATCATAAAAACATTGAAAACAAAACTATTTTGACATCTTACAATTTATAAAGGATGATTATTTACACGAACAATATTTTTTTAAAAGATCATATATTGGAAAACATACTTCATTACATTCATGAAAATTTCTCTTTCATCAGAAAGCCTGGAAGCATACCAGGCATACCGCGGATCATTTCATTAAAAATTGGCAATGACAGTTGATGATGCAATATTGATTGTATTTTTATACAATCTTCACAGGAATTTATTTCTCTATTATTTTCAATCATATAAGCATAATTTTGTATATGCTTTATTAGATTTTTTACCTGTCTATAAAAATTGACATCACAAGGTTGAACAAAAATAAAACTAAAATAAAAATTTTTAAAAATAAAATATTATCTTTAATTCACATTTTAATTAGCTGTAACAGTCATNGAGGATTAGGGTTTTGTACCTCAAAGTCAATAAATTTATTTTTGCCGACCAAAGGTCCAATACTTTTTGAACAGACCTTGTATAAGGAGCTAAAGACAAAAAATGCAGGATAGAGTAGCATAGAAAAATAAATTGTGCACACTGCACCTGCTATAACTTGCAGAAAACTAAAGAACAAGAAAAATTAATCTTTTGATATATGTATTGAATTATAAAAGATGAATTTTTAATGAAAGCCTGTTTTGTAATCAAAACCAGACAATCTGCTGAATTATTGGGCTATAGTTGGACTAACAAGGGCACTTTATGGTCTCAGAAATTCAGTTTGGGATGAGACTTCACAGATTAGTAGTATACCTCAAGGGTGTCCACCCAGAAAAATTGTAAAGCGCATGGTCAGAAAATTCTGAGAAAAAGGGCTGTAAAGTTTTAAGCACAGCTCACATAGTGGTGGATTTTACACTATGGCAGCACAGAGAAGTTTCTGATTCTGTAGCAAACTTGCTTGGCACATGGGTGATCTAGGTTCGATCTTACCTTGGGTTAACTTTTTTTTTTTTTTTTTAATTTATTTACAATGATCTAAAAATATTATCAGTTAAATCATAAATAATTTTGTTTTATTTATGAAATGACCATTACAGCTCATTAAACTGTGAATTAAAGATAATATTTTATTTTTAAAAAGTTGAATAATTTCAAATGCATATTTAATGGAGGTAAATTAAAACTTTAATTACCACTATAAAAAATTTTCGGATAGGGTTTTATTTACATAAAAATTTTTACAATATTGTCTTTATTAGTCAATTTTTTATTTTACATAGAAGTACCAGAATGATAATTATCATAAAAACATTGAAAACAAAACTATTTTGACATCTTACAATTTATAAAGGATGATTATTTACACGAACAATATTTTTTTAAAAGATCATATATTGGAAAACATACTTCATTACATTCATGAAAATTTCTCTTTCATCAGAAAGCCTGGAAGCATACCAGGCATACCGCGGATCATTTCATTAAAAATTGGCAATGACAGTTGATGATGCAATATTGATTGTATTTTTATACAATCTTCACAGGAATTTATTTCTCTATTATTTTCAATCATATAAGCATAATTTTGTATATGCTTTATTAGATTTTTTACCTGTCTATAAAAATTGACATCACAAGGTTGAACAAAAATAAAACTAAAATAAAAATTTTTAAAAATAAAATATTATCTTTAATTCACATTTTAATTAGCTGTAACAGTCATTTCATAAATAAAATAAAATGATTTATGATTTAATTGATAATATTTTTAGGTCATTAACTTTATTTAAAAGTTGTTATAATTTTTAAAGCAATTAAAAATAAAAATAAAAAAACAAGTTAGCCCAAGGTAGGATTGAATCTAGATCGCCCGTGTGGCAAGCGAGTTCGCTACAGAATCATCCATTTCTCTGTGCTGCCATAGTGTAAAATCTACCGATATATGAGCTGCGCTTAAAACTTTAGAGCCATTTTTCTCAGAATCTTCTGGCTGGTGCGCTTTACAATTCTTCTGGGTGGACATCCTTGAGGCATACTACTAACCTGCGAAGTCTCATCCCAAACTGAATTTCCAAGCCTGTAAGGTCCCTTTGTAAGTTAATAATTAGACACAAAGTAATTTGAACATTTAACTGTAATTAATGTTAAAGAATGTAATTAAAAAAGTTTATTTAATTCTATTATTTATTCTTGGAAATACAAAATAAATTCAGAAAAATATAGAAATACTACACAATATTAAAAATTAAAAAATTTTTCATTATAATTAAAACATGTAAAGATCAGATAGATGTATGATGTGCTATTTTAATTATCTTTGGCATATTAACTTAGATTTTATAAAATATTTTAATAATACAAGGTCTGTTCAAAAAGTATCGGACCTTTATTTTTTTCGCGTAAACCAATGATGCGCGAGAGGCCTCCTTCTGTGGAGTTGTGGAGGGGACAGTCATGCACAGCCCTGAATTTTTTCCCGTCTGCAGGAAGCGTCAGTCGTTGGCAATCGGCCTATGAGTGAGGTCATGTAGTGCGCTCTCGTCGGATTCCACTAAGCTGGAAAATGACTGAACAACGTGAGCAGCGATATTACATCAAATTTTGCCAAAAACCTTGGCGATACCCGAGTGTAAACCATTCGCAAGATTCAGCAGGCTTTCGGGGACGATCCTCGAGGCCAAAAAAAGCGCGGCAGGTCCGCAGCAATATCAAAGGTCATGTTGACAGTTTTTTCGACTCTCGTGGGGTGGTGTGTCGTGAGTACGCACCACAAGGCCAAACCATCGCAAAGGAGTACTACCAGGAGGTCCTTCGTCGTCTTTCCGATACAGTGCGACGCAAACGACCGGATCTGTGGTCGATCAAAACTTGGCAGCTCCATCGTGATAACGCATCCGCCCATTCTGCGCATCTGATTCGGGCTTTCGTCGCCAAACACAATACTCCTGTGGTTCGTCACGCTCCGTACTCTCTCCACATGGCTCCGTGTGACCTTTGGCTATTTCTCAAGCTGAAAATGCCGCTAAAAGGAACCCAAATTTAGTCGAGAGAAGACATCATGCGAAATGCGACGGACCGGCTGATAACCATTCCAAAAGATGCGTTCCAGCAGTGTTTCCAGCAATGGCAGGAACGCTGGGAGAAGTGTATACATTACCAAGGAGACTACTTTGAAGGGGATTAGGGTTTTGTACCTCAAAGTCAATAAATTTATTTTTGCCGACCAAAGGTCCGATACTTTTTGAACAGACCTTGTATATTAGTAAAGCATTAATATTAAAATTGAAATGTCCAATAATAGAGAGATAATCTAATCGTAAACTTAAGTAAACTTGAATAATAATGTTGCATAATGCTAACTTTTTAAATAAAATTGCTATATTCTATAATTTTACTTACATTTAAAAGTTGTTTATTTTTATATTAATAATTTTAATGTAAAATTACAAAATTAGTTTAATCTTGTTGCTAAATGTAATATAAATGCTTACTGAAATATCAAATAAAATGTTTATTTTTATATAATAAAATAATTTAATTTGATATTGGAATTTAAAGAAATTTTAATCTTCATTTGGTTACAAGAATTTATGGATTTATAATTTTAAAGTACAAAAGATGTATTAAAGTAAAATTAATTTAAATATACATATTATTTTCTCTTGAATCAATAATTCAATTTATACATTTTTATTTAAATTAATACAGATTTAATTTCTCATGGAATGTGTTTATAATTAAATGTAATTAAAAAAGAAAGTTATGATATATATTTTTAGGAATGCTCCATGGCCAGATCTCAGTGATCAAACACTGATTGGGTAAGCAGCAACTTGTCAATTTTGTCACTTGAAATCTTGAACTGGTGGATTTTTCTCCTTTTTACTAATATTGTATTTAACTTTAAAGTATATAAAGTTTAAATTAACAAAGTAGTTATATTTCAATAATATTGAAATTTGTTTGAATCCCTGATTATTTTGTTATTAAACAGTTATGTTTTATTCTATTCCCATTGCATTTATTTATTATTTAGTTTTATTTTATTTTATTTTACTTTTATTGTTTTGTATTGAATTTATATTGAGCTATCTTATAAATAGTAATTAAATTTTTTAAAATCCAGAATACCAGATAAAGTTCTTTCTAATTTATTTGCCGTGAAACCAGAGTTATGTGGTAAAAAATTTGAACTCAAAGTCAATGATGTCAGATTTGTGGGTCATCCGACACAATTATCTCCACCATCTAATAGAGAACCGTCAACTATTCTGAGTTTTAACATTGTGTTTGCTCTCAGGGTATGATGATATTATTAATTATTAAATTAAATAAATACATCTAGTTCTTGTTTTACATGTTCATCATTCACATTTTTTACAGATTCTTGTTTAAAGAAAATCTTTCACCACTCAGAAATTGTCTTAATATACCGGTGATCAAACAAAATTAGAACTTGACAGCAGTAGCGCAAAGAACTTGGCAATGCTATGAGTCAGATTTGGCAAAGCCATGGATCAGTGGTGCATTAAGCTAAGCCAATATAGCATTGAGTCTGACTTACTGCATTACCAAAAATCTTTCTTTAAATTGCTCTATTTGCAAATTATACTTTTATTTGATTACTTTGTATAATATGCACTCTTTCATGTTATAATCTAGGCAAATATATCTAAAAGTTGGATTGTTTTTGGGCTTGAATTAAGCTAATAATTAATTAATCAAATTACAGAATTTGGTTTAAAAGCAAGCAGTTATGTCACCAGCAACATCAGTGATTCTCAAACAGTGCATTGCAAGACATGCTAAAGTATGCTGCATATATTATGAAAGCATATTTTAAAAATGAGAAGTAAAACCCCTTTGTATAAAGATTTATTCCATTAATAATCAACTAATAGATAGGCCAGGTTCCTAGGATAATAGTTATTGTTGTACAGAACTATTTATAATTAAGATATGTCAATATATTTTAAATTTTGTACACAGTGTGCCATGAACAAAGAAAATTTGAGAACTGATTTAGATCAAATTTTATTGCAAAAACAATATAATTTATATAGATAGCTTGAAACATATTTTTTATAATAATTTTTCAGTACAGTAGACCCCCTATAATGCGGAGATACGTTCCTCGTTATATGAATTTTGCGTTGTGGGAATCCTTAAATACGTGAGCCAATCGCAGCCTGACACATGTGAAGTTTATGGACTACGGCTGTTTGAAAGGTTTTCTTCCATAAAATTAATTGATTCTAGACTAATTCGACTTAAAACACGTATAATTTTTTGGGAATAATCCGTATAAACTATGCTATAAACAAAAAATTGTAGGATTACTTACCGAGTGTGCACCGTTCGACATCGCCATTGCTTAAGCTTGTTTTCGTCGCGGACCAGCGCACCAAACTGCGGCCGCGATTTCTTATGTTATTTTTCTGCGAAAACTTTGTTGAACTTTGGAGACGTCATTAATATAAATAATTTTTATGGCCGTTGAATAAGAAATGTTTCTTTCACAAGAAATGTATAAAATTACAGTACTGTATTAGACTTACGGTACCTAATTTACATACTGTACAGACGATAGTCTGTAAGTATGTAAATTAGGTACCATAATCACCTAAACTCTCCGTAGCGTGGCGCTAGATGGCGGAAAGTGTATATATAATTATAATAAAGTTAAAATAAATTAAGTTAATATATAATTATATATACAGTACCTAATTTATATATAATATACAAACGATAGTAAACTCAACTTACCCACCTAAACTCTTCGTAGCGTGGCGCTGGATGGCAGAAAATAGTTTGGTTGCTCGTCCGCGATGACGAGTTGGCAATGATGTTTTACCGCGTTTTACTCGTCCCTTTTAGCGTCTTTATATGAATATTGTCGCAATTTTTTCGCCGCATTATAGGAATCTACATTATAGGAACTCACGTTATAGGGGGGTCTACTGTACTTAGATAACTTTCTGGAATACTCTATATTAAAATATGTACATATTAAATTGCCTCTTTCTGCATGTTTTTTCAATTTATGTAACCATTTTCAAGAACATCATATAACTGTAAGAACTAGATGTATTGTTTCAAATTGAATGTTAACTAAATACTTTAATAATTTACTGTTTATATTTTCAGGCCAATGCTAGCCATTCAATTGTTAATTGTTATCATGATATTAGTAAAAGACTTACTATAGCACTTCATCATGAAGAAAGACGTTGTGGATATGTTACTTCTCAGGCAAAAATGATGCTTTCTGCTCATGATGATGTAGCTGCATTACCAGAAGGTAAAAACATTTTGATTCCTGTAATAAGATGTCCTGTAGTCTTGTAGACAGTAATAGAAGAACATTTTAATATACATTATAAATATTCATAATTTTAAAAATACATATCAATGATTATATATATTTCATTTATTTATTATTAAATTAATCAGCAATTAAATAAAGAAATTCTTGATAAAACCATTTTTCAATTTAAGGTGTTATATATATTTTTATAATATTTTTTGTCATGAAATTATGCATAGTATATCTCAAAAGCTTCCTGACAAAAATTCTAAAATAATTAGCAAATTTATATATCAGCTTTTAAGTCTTCTACATAGTCTCCTCCCCTTTTGCTATACACAATAGAATACAGTACAATGGTTGGAAGCTATCGTAATACTTTGGTTTTTAAATCATCTTTAACTGATATTTTCTTGGATCGCTGGTACATTGCAAAAAAATTCTTCTTTTAGGCACAATTTTATCTTCAGAAATAGAAAAATTCTATCAGAGCCCTGAGTCTCTGTTGTTTTAACAAAATTGTGACAACAATTGACATGCTTTTCCTTCCATTCACAGATTTCAAAAGTGGAAGTGGGTGCAAATCTTTCTGCACATCAAGCCTTTGAAACTTATGATAGAAATGGTGTTATTACCAATATTTAAATGTTCAGAAAAACATCTATTAAGAAATTAAATTCCAATTTTTGGAAAGATACTTGTTCTTTTTTTGAAATTTAATTCAAAGATTTGCTTCCATTGATCAAATGATCAGTTTTTAAAAAATTAGTCCCAGTGTCTTAAGTGCTAATATTTGAATTGTGTTGTGAAGTGATATTGAACATTGAAGATGACCTTAGAAAGACTGAAAATTTTTGAAATTTTTTAAACTATTGACTGAAGATTAAGGTTTTTAACAATTGATAAGGATGTAAAATCATTAGAAAAGCAAAATTCCTTATCTATTAAAAATGTTTTATGATATTTATCTTATTAATTTTGACAATATTTCAGTTTGTAAATATGAAATGAATTAAATTGATTTTTCATCAATTTTAAATGTATGATCTTATTATTAATATCAAATTAATTTAAAAGTTAAATCTTACGTTGCTTTTGTTATATAAATGTGTTATCATTATTGATTCTTTCTTATGCACCTCATATGTGCTTCAAGATATTTTGATAAAATTACTTAATATTATAACATTAAAAATATTTGATTTCTAAATTTTACAGTAAATGACATAAAGCAAAATTTTCCTAAACTTTATTTTAAAAATTTTCTTTTTTTTCATGAAAATAAAAATTTTCTATAAAATTGAATTTTTAGATACTTTTCAATAATATAAACATTATAACAAATGAATTTTATAAACATCTATATTTCATTAAATCTAAGTAAAAATTTGATTTCTGTTTTTAAAAAATCTAATTTTTGATTCGTATATACATTCCATATTGTACACAACAAATTAAAAAATTCTTTCTCTTTTTTAATTTATTTAATATAAAATATTTGCTCTCAGTCTCAAATTAGTAGTGTCTTGCCCCTGAACATCATACTTTTCCTGATAATAACAGTCATGCCAGTCATCTAACTCTGTTCTGTGGAGAATTTTTGAATTGAAATCATGCGACTTCTGGTATAGACCATAAGTTCATATATAGTTAATCGGGATCTCCTGCTTCTAAGCTTTCCATATTTGGTCTCAACTTTCATCTATAACACCATTCTTGAGATTAAGGAAGGACAGACAGCCAGATGGATGACAGTGGGAATTTATAGGTGTACAGTTTTTGAAAATTGCAGTCCAATTATCTACTGAAATGTTTCCTTGTTTATTTAATATAATTAACATATGATAATTATTTAATCAAAAATTAAATTCAAAGTGGGTGAAAACTGGCACACAGTTATATATATATATATATGAAACGACTTTCTTCAGAAAATTCAGAATTCACAATTTTACTATTTCATGCATTTCTGTATCATATTATTACCAATATTAAAATGCTTCCTTCAGGAAGCCAAATCTTTAATTGAAAAATAAGAAACATTTTTGTCTTGATCCAGGGCAACTTCACCTTACAACTAATATGAAACAGATATAAAATATTGTTGCTCTTTGACTTAAATTTGAATGTTTTGCAATTTTTAATAAATTAAACATTATTATTATTAATAAATTAAACATATGGAAAATATTTGTGTTTCAATCTGTCAGTACTAGAAATGTTCAATATGTATGTGCAGTACCAAAAAATGTCATTCCCAATTACCTAAAGAACAAAATAAAAAGTTTTTAACATAGAACACATTTCATATACCAAACTACTGCCTTATTTTATCAGTTTAGTGCCTAACCATGTCACGCCAAAAAATTGGTGTGACATGGTTAGGCCCTGGACTTACTTTGTACATTTTTAAAAAATTGGTGACTACGTAACAGATGGACTAGAGCAGTCAATAACTACAAAATGTTATTTTACTTTTGTTATACTTGTAAATATAAATTTTATATTAATTAACTGTTATCTTATTATAATATGTTTAACTAAATATAAATCTTTTCATACATAGATAGTGAAGAATCTCCTTATGGAATAATATTAAGTAAAAGCCAATTAGCTAAAGATCTCAAAACTGCTTACATGGAGTAAGTATGTATTCATTATATATAAACTTTTCATAAAATTTTTTTATTATATAAATTTTATTACAGTGTAGTAATTGATATTCATGAAATTGAAAAATTAACAGTATTAACTAAATACTAATGAAAGTACTAATGAAAAAATCATTATATGTATCTGTGATGGATTATTTAGTATCATTTCATAAATTTATGACTTAATTGAAATTAGTAATCATTAATTGTGATAAGTATTTAAATGATGATAGAGGAAAGATTGTTACTTCTGTTTTAGCACTAAAATTCTCTTTAAATTAATAAATCCTACAAAACAATCTTATATAATTTGGTTTTAAAACTTAAGAATTGTCTGTTGTAAACAGAGATTGCTTCAGCAATTCTTCTTAATATGAAGAGAATCTTAAAAATGTTTTATTTTCAACAGTTTGAACTTAGTTATGATAATAATAATATAATAATAATAATAATAACTCTCCCGTGGTCACCACCTGGTCGTGGTGGGAGAGCCCAGTAGTTTTACAGATCCATAGGGCAATGCAGGCTGGAGCACAAGCTCCTGGTAGGGACACCCATGCCAGTAAGGTCTATGGGGAGAAATGAAGCTAAGAGTGACCACACACCCACATTCTGTGGAGATAATCATTATGGTAGTAACCAGATC